CATCTAATTTCTCCTTACAATATCATCACTGAATCACACATGGATGTCAAGAGAATAAAGGAAATGACCACCAACTTAAGAAACTCTTGATTGTTAGACAAATTCTCCTTGTCAGCACCTTAGTTAATGTCCAGAGGACAGTATGGAGAATATGAATACTGATCTTAGGGTGTAAAGGGTTAAGAGAAAAAGTGTTCATAAATTCAAGAAGCTTCTATATAGGCATCTAGGAACTTTTTCATACTATTATTAACATTGCCATCTGAAGTAAAAATCAGTGAGTACACTGGATCATTTTAAAGTACATTAGATTTGTAGTTGTATTCAAATTTTTGACTGGTATTAAGTTATATCTTATAGTATATCCCTATTTAGAGTTTACTCTTAGTGGGGAGGTCAGCTTCAAATTAAGATTAAGTTCTTCCCCTATTGGCATTTTTTTGCATTTTTTAAATATCATTTTAAGGTTACTGCGAACCTTTAAGGGCCACATTTTGTGAAAAAAAAAATTGCACACATTCTCCAGCTAAAACATTTACCTGTAGTTTGCTGAACAAAAATCTAAAATCATGAAATGGTTGCTTTAGCTTGCCTTTAAATTCACTGCCACATTTTGTTTTGTTTGGGATTGACAGTAGTTTGACTCTGGCCACTTAAGTTTCACTGTTGGTTTCCCAAATTCTCTGCTCTTTCCCTGGTAAGTGCTCCATTTCTTTAGCTCTATCCCACTCCCTTTATCCTCTCTATTGGACATCACTTTCCCCTTATTTATGAATTGCAATTTGACTGCAGAATAATAGATCTCCTGCAAATTTCTTAGCAACAATTTTGTTTGGAGCCTTTGGGGATCTGAAATCTGTGTTTCATTGGTCAGCACCATGGCACCCTCACAATTGCTTTAATGAGTTGTGGTAAGCTTTTAAAACTTTTTGACATGCAAAATCAGGGTTTATTTCAGCATATATTCTCTTAAATTCCGTACCACTTGATAGAAGTATGTAGATTTTACATAATTTTTACGAAACTTGGCTAAAATGTTAACTGGCTGTTAACACGCCGAGGCATGCGGGGCTTTTTCAATATTGCAAATATTTGTGTCAAGTTCAAAGTAAAGTTTGTCGGCAACTAAAAAAGCCTCTCACACTTTTTCATTCCATCTAATTGGCACTGTACAGTTTATCTGACCCTGCCAACAAACAAGGTTATTCAAGTTGTCAAACATCATCATTTTTCATGAAGCCAAATCTTTACAATATTAATTTCTTCCGATTCTACATTAGTGACTTTACAAGGTCTGCGTAAGAACGAGTACGTGGAGACACCCCTGAAAGCTTACAGTAACCTTAATATAAATATAATCAATAAACGGGGTAGGTTTCTGCAGAACTCTGACGAAGGGCTAACACTCGAATACGGTAGCTTTGAAACTCTTAACGGTGGCCAATTTACGTTATCAACTCAGTTGATAATACCAAATTACTTATAAATAAAGTTGTTATAATCATGAATAAATTGATTAATTAATTAATATTAGGAATTTACGATTGTCGGCTGAGCTGCCATTTCTCATTTGTAGGATCAACCTCTTCTTCATAAAATTAGATAAATAAATTGAAATAAAGGCTGAATACTTACCTACAAATTTCCATAAATCTTCATTTCAGCCGCCATTTTGTTTTCTCCGCTGACTTTAATGTATCGTAGGACGATTCAAATCGCAAAGAATCCTGGGATGCGGTCTCTTTCCTTCTCATCGCCATCATGGTTTGTATCGTGAATTTGATGTGAAATCTTCTATCCAATTCAATCGTTGTCAATCATGCCATAATTTTTGGAATAAAGTATCTGGAAGGGGAAGAACAATCCTTAAACTATTGTACTGGTGTATTATTTTTCCAGGCTCGGGGTCCAAAGAAGCATTTAAAGCGCTTAAATGCACCGCATCATTGGATGCTTGATAAATTGTCTGGTAAATTTGTAAGTATGGCTTTTGAAATACCTTCATATTGGATCATACTTATATAGAAGTCTTGAAGAAGATAGGTTTTTATCTAAGGTTGTCCAAAATTAAGATAGAGAACAAATGTCAGAGCAACAAGTTGATATATATATATATATATATTTCGATAAGATAAGTCCTTCCATCTAACTGTTCTTCTTCTTGTTGTGAGAGAAGATCAAAACATTAGATCTCGGAATGGAATCGTTATGAGTATTATTTAAACGTTCAAAGTGAATTTGAATAGTACATTGTGTTGCTCGTGTCGCTTCCCTTATCTTTTCGCACACTTTTTTCTTCCACTGGGAGAATACTTAGTTTGCAAGCAAAGCACAGAAACAACCATCAGAATTGTTCATTTTTGTGCTTGTGCTTATAGTATTAATTTATTGAGACAACCAGTGGGCAGTTAGTTCTCTTACTTTGTAAAGCTTTAAAAAATTATTGC